AGGTGCACAGTTATTTTGATAGACTGACTATGTGTTACTAACTCGAAAACGTCTCGTTCTCATTGACTTGTTTTAATCCTACTAATTTTTTTTTCAGAGTGATTATGGAGTCGTTTCGACAAACAGCAAGTCAGAACTGGGCCGACTTTAAGGTGTTTCTGTACAACAAGGAAACCAAAGAAGTTGCTGGCAGAACTGGAAAAATTTGGGGTATGTGTATGAACATGTCTATTTATAGCTAATGCTAAAATGTTGGCAATAGCTTTTCGGCCAGCGAATCTGAACCCAAGTTATTTAACCTATTAAAGAAAAGCTAAATTATAAAAGGGGCCCTTCCGTTTAGGTACGGTTGTGCTCAACCCATTTGAAATATCGTTGTTTTGGCATATTTGAAATATCGTTATCGTATCGGCGAAATTTGTTTTGATCTTCAACTCAATCAAGTGCAGTCGGTTTGTTAGTCAAAGCATTTCTTGAAACTGTTGCAATTCGCAGATCAAATCTGTTATAATCGGACTATTTTTTTTCAAACACAAATTGCAAAATTAGTCTGCTAGCATTGAAAGGAAGTTTTAAATTTCTATAAAACTATTAAGCTATTATAACTGCTTGGAACTGAATCAAATAATCCAAGAATAAAATAGTTTTAAAATGTATCAGTATAAGTGAGTTTTTTTTAGTTGTGGTCATCTAAGATGATGTTTTCATAGGATGCAGGTTTTGTTATTTGGCGGAGAACACAACAAAATTTGATTGCATCAGTCGGTGACCATAATTTAAATTGAACTATTTTTCAAGACTATAAGCTTCAGGTTTTTTGACCTCATATTCATAGATCGTATTCTTCTACACTTTATTGTCCGCTTAAAAGGACATTTTTTGCCACAAACTAAATAGAACATTTCTATAGTTAATGCCAGCGCAATGTCGAAGTTTCCACGTAATTGTGGTATGACTGGATGTATTGGCTCATGGAATGGCATGCAAGGTAGAAGAACTTCGCTTCCCATGTGTAACTCCCGCTACTTACATTCATGAAACCATATAACCAATTGCTGTGCAAAGGGCTCATAATGTTCTGACCATGGTATTTTAAGAAAGCAGTGGGGTGAGTTAGATAATAATTCGGAGACTTGGAGATTGTAGCCAAAATAACGTTTAGAGGCATTTCTTACTCGTTACATAGTCCATTAAGTGCGAAGTAGACTGAAAACATATAGTTTTTCTCAACTCTGAAACAATATATTTTTTGCTGGAATCCACATCATGATTTAGCGAAAATGCGAGCGGTATTCTTAAGTATCTCAAAGACTTCAGAAAGATTCAACTACTAGATCCGAGAGAAACGTAGGGTTGTATAAATGATCAATTCGTTTTTGTTGAAAGCTATGAAAAGCATGACTGAAAGAAAATAAAATTGAAGTTTTAATTTAGTTCATGGGGCATGACGTCACAGTTCTAGATATCGCTGTCATTATTTTTTTTGCGAAAACATAGGAGATCGTGATACGAAAGCGGCAGTATTCGAATTTTTGAGTCTCTGTTTGTAGGAGATTGAGAGTCCATCTAATTGCTTTCTTCTCTAGGTTTTCAACTAATTTCAGCTGTTCTGTTTGGTTTCCAGACTTCAGACCCGTATGATATAATTGGTTCAATTTAGCCACAAGGAGGTATTTAGCTTTGATGACAGAGATACACTCTTAGATAATTTTTTTCTTAAATTGGTAGAATGCTCCAATGGTTTTTGCAACTGATTTCCCAGAGTTGGCATAGCGAGAGGTTTTTGGAGACCAAATACTTGCCCGTTAATCGAAATTTTAAAAATTTAAACTTCCGGAATATTTCGACCCTCCTTCGCAGCACTTTTTTGTTACTAAGGCCTTTAGTCGTCTTTTTCTGTCCCGCCGGAAGGTTGCGCTGTGCCAATCTGGCAGAATGGCACATTTTCAACGTAATGGAGAAATTACTTAGCTTGCTGCACTGACTTATCTTTCTCTGTTGTCGCGATGCATGCTCTACAGAACCAGACGGTTTCACTTATATTTCGATACACATCATCTGATATACCAACGCAATTTACTTGATACCAGTTCAAACAGCATTCCCATTCGACACCTTTTGACCTGTACGTGACCTTCTGATTGCTCTCTTGAACATATTTCGTTAAGATCTTTTTCGGGCGAAAACATTTCGGGAATATCCCTCGATAGTGCAGTTTCGTACTGCTTCAACCAAAGATTAGCTAAACTAACGGCAAGAGATGCCCCTATCGCCAAACCATCTTTCTGAACATACCATGTTTCATTGCACTTGAAATGGACTTGACTAACTGTCATGTTTAGCGGTTTTCCTAGCAATTGATGGTGGTTCATCTTGCTCATACAGTTTTCTCAGAGCTATGTCTCTTGCTTCTTTGAGTGGAATATTTGTATACAAACTCTTCACCAAATTAAAACTCTTCACCAAATTAAATTTCTAGCGATCAGTCGGTTCATTTTAATGTCTTATTTTTAATTTCGCTTTTAATCGCCAACATGTTTGACCTCGAAACTTTCCGAAATCTGAACGACGAATTGAAATACGAGCTGTATAAAGACTTAGTCGAAAATGTTACTTATTTTAAACGAATTATCGAAAACTTAACTGTATCAACGAAAGAGGAAGAAAGAGGAAACAAATTTTTTGATCTAGAAAATTTTAAAAACACGGGCAATTCGAAAATTACAGAAAATAAATTTGAAAACGAATGGAGCAAGATTGGAACTCGGAGCAGAAATCAGAACAAACGAAGCGAAAATAACCAAGAAAGCAAGAATAACCAAGAAATCAAAATACAAGCAACCAATATTCAAGAAGAAAAATTCGACCAGCAACGAAAACATTTATTTTTACCACGAGAAGGAGAATATTCTGGCCTATTACTGGGAGACTCAATTGTTAACAGAATCAATGGGGAACAAATATCGGAAAATGTGTTGGCGAGAGGATTTGGTGGGCACAAAATTTCTGCATTGCTGGAACGCGTGAGAAACAGTAAATCGCGACATTTTAAACATGTAACTACGCTAATTGGAATAAATGACTGCCTCTCAAGTGATTTCGACGCGAAGGAAGCCGTGAGTAGATTAGAAAAACTAATTTATCTCATAAATCATAAATTCTCCCCAGAAACAATTTCACTATGTACTGTAACTCCCTTAGGCGCTTTTAGAAAATTTAGATTCTATAATTATTCCATATGGATTGAAGGTTTTTTGTCCAAACGATGAGACCAGAATTAGTTCCTCAACAAAAACAATTGGATAACAACTGCCGACATTATCATTAGTTGCCTTGCTTCATTGTCTTGTTTTAACACATTTAGATTATTCAGCAATTTTTTTACAACAAATTAATGCTACTTTGATGCTATCTCTGGAGAAACAGTTGAACTGGGCGCTAAAAAGAACATATTTCAGATCGAATTTTAAATCTTCTTCCCTTCTTCGCATTAGCAAATCGTTCATTGGAATCGAGAAAAGAATTGAGTTAAAGTGTATAACATACTTATACCAATATCTTACAAACAAAAAGAAGGCTTTTGAAAATACACTGAGACTACCGACTGCCAATTATAGGCTCAACGAAAGAACGAAACAAATTATTTTTGACAAACATTGTTCGACTGCTTCTCTACAAAAATCATTTTTTCATTTGACTTCTAAAAAATGGAATTCACTGCCCATAATTTTGCGCAATTTAGAAAAATCGAAAACAGAATTCAAGAAAAAATTGAAAGAATTTTACGTGAGTGAATTGAGAAACAATCCTATATGTACTAATACAAATACGTGGCGTGATTACCGTTTTTGCTAGTTCTATATTTTTTAATTCAGTTTAATTTTTCACACATTGCTTGAAAGAGAAACTGTATATACTCTGCATATACGTTGTATAATTGGACTATCTGTAAAATTGTTTGTAAAGTTTTATTACCAGCTTGTTCCTAATTCTTAAATCTTTAATTTTCTATAGTATCCGAAACTTCATATACTTTAATCAACCAATTTCCGAACTGTAACTGATTTTGTTTTTTTTTGTTTTGTTTATTGCTTGTTTTCTGATGTTTTGTTTTTGTTTGATGTAACCAATGAATTTATAACCAATTTTAATATTTACACTTTGCTACACTGATGCCTCGGCTTTTTATTGTATAGTAATTCAAGTGTTCTTTCTTCTTCTTCTTCTACATCTAGAGATATAAAATTTTCATTGGGCTCAAGACTAATGCTCTCTAAGATGTCTCTCGCATCTAGTGAGTTGGTTTCGATGTTTGCGCCCTCAACTTGCAAGAACCTTGTTCAAGTTATCATAAGAGCTACCAGGCAATGAGAGGAGCGGTCAAAATGGGGTACTTTCTTTATGCACCTTCGCCAACCCATAAAGCCTGGCGGGCTGCCCACCAGTAAACCTTATCCTTGTTCAGAGATTTTGTTTTATTTCGTCTTTTTTCTTCATAACCAACAACTCCTTATTGATATCTCTTTCTAACTTCATAACAATCGCACCACTTGTTAATAGGGGCGAAATTTATCACTTTGTATTTTATGTGGCATGTGGGGGGGATCGTTTTCAAAAAAAATCTCAAATTGAAAAGAAATTCATTTTTTTTTTTTAAATTTAGTTTTTTATAAAAGTTTTCATGTTATTACTGCTTCATAGGCCTCAAAAGACAGTCAGAATTTGCAGGGTTTCGCCCTGATTTGAGCAGTCTTGTTAAGTTTTGCTATCAAAAGTGCTTAAGTTCAAGGCGTTCGCTGAGATCTTCCCATTGTTTTAAGATTTTCATTTTTGTGGTCGGAACTTTTTGTGCTACTTGCACCGAACTGATTTTGCTTGTTTCTTTTTGCGTTTCTTTAGTAGGTGCACAGTTATTTTGATAGACTGACTATGAGTTACTAACTCGAAAACGTCTCGTTCTCATTGACTTGTTTTAATCCTACTAATTTTTTTTTCAGAGTGATTATGGAGTCGTTTCGACAAACAGCAAGTCAGAACTGGGCCGACTTTAAGGTGTTTCTGTACAACAAGGAAACCAAAGAAGTTGGTGGCAGAACTGGAAAAAGTTGGGGTATGTGTATGAACATGTCTATTTATAGCTAATGCTAAAATGTTGGCAATAGCTTTTCGGCCAGCGAATCTGAACCCAAGTTATTTAACCTATTAAAGAAAAGCTAAATTATAAAAGGGGCCCTTCCGTTTAGGTACGGTTGTGCTCAACCCATTTGAAATATCGTTGTTTTGGCATATTTGAAATATCGTTATCGTATCGGCGAAATTTGTTTTGATCTTCAACTCAATCAAGTGCAGTCGGTTTGTTAGTCAAAGCATTTCTTGAAACTGTTGCAATTCGCAGATCAAATCTGTTATAATCGGACTATTTTTTTTCAAACACAAATTGCAAAATTAGTCTGCTAGCATTGAAAGGAAGGTTTAAATTTCTATAAAACTATTAAGCTATTATAACTGCTTGGAACTGAATCAGATAATCCAAGAATAAAATAGTTTTAAAATGTATCAGTATAAGTGAGTTTTTTTTAGTTGTGGTCATCTAAGATGATGTTTTCATAGGATGCAGGTTTTGTTATTTGGCGGAGAACACAACAAAATTTGATTGCATCAGTCGGTGACCATAATTTAAATTGAACTATTTTTCAAGACTATAAGCTTCAGGTTTTTTGACCTCATATTCATAGATCGTATTCTTCTACACTTTATTGTCCGCTTAAAAGGACATTTTTTGCCACAAACTAAATAGAACATTTCTATAGTTAATGCCACCGCAATGTCGAAGTTTCCACGTAATTGTGGTATGACTGGATGTATTGGCTCATGGAATGGCATGCAAGGTAGAAAAACTTCGCTTCCCATGTGTAACTCCCGCTACTTACATTCATGAAACCATATAACCAATTGCTGTGCAAAGGGCTCATACTGTTCTGACCATGGTAATTTAAGAAAGCAGTGGGGTGGGTTAGATAATAATTCGGAGACTTGGAGATTGTAGCCAAAATAACGTTTAGAGGCATTTCTTACTCGTTACATAGTCCATTAAGTGCGAAGTAGACTGAAAACATATAGTTTTTCTCAACTCTGAAACAATATATTTTTTGCTGGAATCCACATCATGATTTAGCGAAAATGCGAGCGGTATTCTTAAGTATCTCAAAGACTTCAGAAAGATTCAACTACTAGATCCGAGAGAAACGTAGGGTTGTATAAATGATCAATTCGTTTTTGTTGAAAGCTATGAAAAGCATGACTGAAAGAAAATAAAATTGAAGTTTTAATTTAGTTCATGGGGCATGACGTCACAGTTCTAGATATCGCTGTCATTATTTTTTTTGCGAAAACATAGGAGATCGTGATACGAAAGCGGCAGTATTCGAATTTTTGAGTCTCTGTTTGTAGGAGATTGAGAGTCCATCTAATTGCTTTCTTCTCTAGGTTTTCAACTAATTTCAGCTGTTCTGTTTGGTTTCCAGACTTCAGACCCGTATGATATAATTGGTTCAATTTAGCCACAAGGAGGTATTTAGCTTTGATGACAGAGATACACTCTTAGATAATTTTTTTCTTAAATTGGTAGAATGCTCCAATGGTTTTTGCAACTGATTTCCCAGAGTTGGCATAGCGAGAGGTTTTTGGAGACCATAGTTACCACATCTTCCTCAGTATGAGCTTCCAAAAGCTCGTAGTCGTTTCGATTGTTGAAAACGTTTGAAGACCAGGTTATGACGTTGATAACCATTTGTACTTCTGATGGATGGGTTTGTTGATAGCAGCTAGTAGCCCGCAAAGCCAAAATATAATGAGTTTAAGCCAGTTGTTAGATCGTTGATGAGGCAGATAAACAATGACGGGCCCAAAATGGTGCTCGAGGAGCTCGCTAGTATAGTTGAGCCAGCCGCTGAAACAATTTCTTTAGTAAAGTTAAACCAGCCGCTGAAACCCGTTGCTTGCAATTTTTCAGGGAGCTTTCAGTTAATTTCGCGATTTTTAGACCAATTCTAAATGATAAATTTTCAAAAAATCATGATTTACCAAGTCAGAAGCTTTGTCAAAGTCAGTGTATGTTGACCAGATGTGTTTAGCTTTTTCATCCTCGGCTCGGTTGTAATTTTCGTCAGGAAACTCCAACAATTGATTTGTTGGATCTTTTAGGTCGAAATCCAGTATGGGTTTGACGGAGTTGTCTCAGTGTTTCAGCTGACAATTTGTCAAGAATGAGTTTTTTTGAGCACTTTCAAAACCAAGAGAAGAAGTCTTATGGGCCTATAGTCAGTCATTGATTGTTCTTCACCACTCTTGTATATTGCATATATTTCCTTAAGTTTCCTCATTTCTGGGTGCGCCTTTGTTTGTAATCGTGTTGACAAGAAGGTGTAACGAATTTTTGAGATAAACATTCATAGCTCGATTAGCATATTGTTTCCTAATTTTTCCGGTCCCATTGCTTTGTTTGCGTTCAAGATTTTACAAACTTTTTGGTTTCCTCTTCCTCTTACTTCCTTCATTGAGTAAGTTTGTTAGGTCTCTGTTGGTTTATCTTATTGCTTTTTCTTTCGATCCTTAGCTTCTATCTTCCGTTTTTATCTTTTCGTTTCTTGCCAATTTGGTTCTTTGCAAACCGTTTGAAACCGTTTGTTTTGCTAGTTGCCAAAGGTTGCTGAAGTTGAAGCACACTGTCAAGTGTATGTTGGTTTCGATGGTTGCAAAGGGGTGTACAGGCAGATCTTCTGTAGTCAGTTCGTTTTTCTTCAATGGCAGCAACATAATGTTAACGTGTAGTATACATTTTCCAGTTGATCTAAGCTCAGTCAGAATATATGGTGTTTCAACACGACTCGCGAATTGTAAATTTTTGCCTTGTTCGTGGTCGAAACAACAAAAAGTCCAGTTGAACACGATCTGCAATGTTCGAACGATGGGGGTTTTACGTTGTTGGGTTTCAATTTCAGTCCACAAATTGAATAAAAGATCTTTCTGACCATTTTCGGAGTCTTCGTTATGTGTAGGGCTCTGACTGCGTTGTTCAGTGATTTAGCACCAATGGTAAGCATACAGCAGGCTGCTGAAAACCTTTAACAAGGACACCTTGACCGGGCCGGATTTTCGTGTTCAATTAGCCGAAACTATTTATGCATTAAGTAGTTCAAGTCACGAACAGATGACTGACTGATGAATATTCCGTAGCCTTGGAGGTTTTTTCTTTTGAATTAACTTTTTTAATGCTTTGTAATTTTCCTTAGCTGTGTTTGAGCGTCTTTTGGCTATTTTTTAAACCTGAGTTCTTGAAGTGCAGAGTCGCCTCCTGTGTCAACGGAGAAACTTCAGTATGGCTAGCAAAGCATAATCTACTAAATTCATTCGAATAAAGCAGCTTCGCAGTGATTTCGTCATCTCTTGGATTGGGAATTTTTACGTCAGTACTTCAAGTCCCGTAGATGTCAATTTAAACTGGGCGTGGGAGGTTAAACAATCACCTGGAATGTTTTGGCTGTTTCGCGTATCGCAGTAGCTTGAGCTCTGACAGAGGATCAACTTTAACTCGTTCTATATTTTATTGTTACACTTGTAAAAATTGTTAGTTTCTCTTTTTCATTGCAGAGATAGCACAATAGCTAAGATATATTAGGTACTTAATAGGTAGCAGTTCGAGGCATAAATACAGAGTTATACCTTGACCGAAGCTTGAGAGACCGCGAGCAATCTAATAAAAGATCCGATGACATAAGCAAAAAAAGGTCCGTCGCACGCTGTCTAGTTGTGCTAGGAACTCTTTGCAAGTTGTTGATGTTAAGTGAATATATACATTGTTACCATTTGGTTGGTGCAATAGAACAATTAAAGTAGCTGCAAATGTACCATAAAGTGTTTTAGATCCCTTTTCACTGACTTGCGGCTATCAGTTGTTCATTTCCTATTTTCCATGCCGTTCCGTTTGCCTTAGCTCTGCTCAATCCCAATTCCATGTTAAATTACAAAGTATAATTTTCATTTTGTTGGCTAAGGAACCATACTCAGAAGTCAGAACTCTTTAAGCGTCTTTTGAAACGCTTAAGCATTGAAATGGAATTTGCCTAGGACTGTGGTTTTTGATAACTTGTTGCGATCGCAGAAGCGAACATTTGTGTTTTAAATTTGTAAGCGCTCAGCAACGGATCTCTTCATTTTTTGATTAATCGAAAGTAGTTCCTTTTTGGACCAATGTGTCGCACAAATGTTTGTTTTAATTTTCGTCAAATTGAAACGTCGATAATCTGACCATCACACCACAGACTAGAGTATTTTGTTCACTCCTTTTGTTCGTTCCACGCATGACGTGTTTTAGAGGGAATGTCGCATATATGAAAATTTGAGTATTCTGAGCTCCCTTCTGTTGATTGTGTGCCAAATGGAAAAGGTAGCACAGCAAAGCAGTGAAGGAAAATAGTCACTGAAAATTGTGTGTGGTTGCTAGTGTAAGCTTAAACTGTGAGGATAAATAATGCATTTGAAAGGAACATAAAATGTTCAAGTTGCCTAAATTGCTCATTTTCAGTCCTATTTAGCTCTCATGTGTTGTGTTTGACTAAGTCAAGCAATTTCGGACCTATTCATATTTTTAAAATCATGTTTTTAACATGATGATTTATTAAATATCAGAATTTAGACAAAACTAAAAAAAAGACTGTACAAACTAGAAAGTTATATGCACAAAAACAGTCATCTACAAAAATTTTGCCATATAGGATTAAAATTTCTGTTCTTGTCGGTTTTCAAAGAAAATAATGAACATATTTATGTATTTCATCTATTTCAGGTTAATAATTATCCGAAAGTTCATAAGGTTCATCAATCATATCCAAAAAGCTGGAAAAAAATCGCTCATTTGCATTATGGGTGTGGTACATACTCCCGAGTTATGGTTAACTTCGCAAAATTTCTCAACGCTGATCCTCTGAAATCCGTCTCATGTTCTTCAGCCTACGAGACTTAAACGTGGGATTGTTTGCACTGGTTTTACATGAATTATAATAATTTTGTATAAATAACAAGGATAGTCGGTTGCTGTGCAAGTAGCACAGAATGTTCCCGCCATTTTCTTGAAAAAAAAAACTTTTTTCAATTGAATGTCGTTTTTTTTTGTGCGTGGTTTGATAAAAAGATTGGACAAAAGCCTAAAATTTAAGCATATTCGACACTATTCGTGAAATTGGTAAGATGGATAACAGTTTTAATCGAAAAATGGCTAGAACCACAAAAAAGTTAAATTGTTTTAAAAAATTCTAATATCAAAAAAAAATGTGGCAGATGAAATGTGGTTTTTTTTGAATACCAAAATAGCGTTGAAAAACTGAAAAAACTATTCTAACTAGAGCAAATTTAAACTTTCAGGGCTGGAATCGGCGTATCCTTCTTCTATAAAAAGACAGTTATTAGGACTGCTCTCTAGCTTTATTCGCTCGAAATTAGACTAAAAAATCAAAAATTTCAAGTCGGTTTTTCTCGACACCGAAAAATTTTTTAATGTCATTTGAATCACAAAGGGCTTCAATATGATATATCACTCGACCCTGTCCGATGATTATTTGTAGTACCTGATTTTGCTTGGAAAACAAAAAAGTTGAAAAAAAAATTGTACAAGCCCGAATTTTTTCCTCATTTTCAATGGTCGGAACAATAATATTTTTCAGGATGATAATGATTTTTCGCAAAAATAATGATATAACAACGGTATTGTCCAACATACGGGTTGTTACGGCTCTCTGTAAACAACTGCTGTTATTACCTTAAAGCGAAAACAAGTTATTTGTGTGCTTGATAAAACATGTAATTATGGTTTATTTTCGAAGGAACCTTGAAGCTGCCTATTGGCTTGCTTTTTACTTTGTGTTGAGTTGGTGTGTTTCGTTTCAGCGGAGATTGGCGTGTTCTACCTGGTGTTCTATCTTCTGCTGGCCGGATGGTGGGCCTTCCATCTGTTCGTGGCCACCAGTCTGCTGCCAGAGGTAGAGGACGGACCCAAGTACACGGACTACCTATCACACAGGGGACCAGGTAAATATATCCTCCTCAGTCTTTTCATTACCCTTTTTTCGGGCTCCTCTCCAGTTTTATTTGTTGGGCTTATTTTGAACCTTCTTCGCCTACTAAGGTCCGTTAATTGATTTTTTCTCGATCTTGCTCGCATGTAGTACTCAAATACGATTCAAATCTGGGTTTCAAAAGTCAAAAATTTGCGGACAAAAACTTAGTTGGAGACCTACAATGCATAATTAAGCGATAAGAATTTAGAAAACAGAAAAACGGGAAAAAATGAAGAAATTGAAGTCTTTCAATACCGTCCCCTAATTTCCCCTGAACGCAAACAATTTTTTTATTGTTGAAAATTGACTGGCGATTTTGACAAATAGATCTGCTGTTTCTGCGAATTCTAATTTTTTTTAAAAATCCAGAACGTCGAATCGCCTACCTTGTCATTTGTAGGCAAGGTAGGCGATTCAGGGTTTTTCTTGTCATTTGGAAAACATTTTCCCTTCAAAATGGTTGTTATTTTTGGCAATGTGATTGTTATTTTCGGTGGCATTTTTGTAGGTCTGCACGTGGTTCCCCAGGCAGATGTCATTGGAGCGGACAAGCAGAGGGTGTACTTCTACAATGACAAGGAGGAGTACTTGGAAACCATTGACTCTTTCATTCAAGGTCACTCATTGCTCTTTTAAGTGATCATGCCAAATTGACAACTTCTTTTTCAGTCGACAAGTCTGAACGAAATTCAAGAAAACAACAAAGCTCATTTGATGCTAAAACCCAGTTTTTTTTCTGGCATGGAGAACCAAAGGTTCAGGTGGTATTCAGTTTTTTTTTCGAGAAAGTTTTTTTTTCGAGAAAGTTTTTTTTTCGCTCTCCGAAAGCAAATGGCACGAATAATGTGAATGACTTTTAGTTTTTGTCTGCTATTAATGAAGAGTAGTGAACGTAGTGAAGACTCTTATATAGGTCTTGCTGATTTTTTTTCTTGTTTTTTTTTATCAGGTAAAATGCTCTAATAACTACAGATATGCATTCATACATATTGATGCATTTATGAATGCACTTAGGTATATATGCACTTTTTGAGTTCAAATAAAATTCATCTGCTGAAACTGACGTAAATAGCTTTCTCCAAACACAAACATGGAAATTGCGCGAAAAAAATTGAACGATTTCTAGTTTCGAAAGTGGTTATTAATTTTTAGATTTCCAGCGGGAAAAACTTTACCTGTTGATCCAGTTTTCTCAATTTGGGTTAATGTTATCAAAAAAGCGCCTATTATGAATCGCTTTAGACATTCAAAGAGCTTTAAGGGCTTGTATTTTTTTTCTTTTAAATTCGAAAGATGAGATTTTTTCAACAAAGTCAGTGTTTATTTTATGTTTACTTGCGCTCATTACTCTTTTCCAATCGTCGATTGGCTGTTGTTCATTTACTTAATTCGTGTGGTTTCTTTGTTTGTTTCTCATGCTCTTTTCGTTTCTTCATTTTGTCGACTTGATTTTGTTTGTGAAGCGCAACGCCCAGACTAGCCAACCCCTGCAATCCGTTCTAGTGATCCGTTTTTTTGTTCCGACCATTGAAAATGGGGAGGAACTTGTATTCGGGTGTTTTACTTTTTTTGCTTGTTTTCCACGCAAAAGCAGCTACCACAAATAATGATCGGACTGGATTGGGTGATATATCATATTAAATCCCTTTCAGTCGTGATTCGAAGTTTTTTCAAATAGGGTTGATTGAATCAAAGAAGCACCAATCAGAAATTGTTCTAGAAAGGCAAAGAGTTTTAAGGGCATCTTTTTTTTATAGAAAGTCAAAAGTTAATTCATTATTTTGTTCTGTTCACTTCGTAGTTTAACAACTAGTTTAACAAAATCAGTTGTATCACTTGCTGACTTTTTTTCTCTTAACATCTTCCAGATTGCTTCCCCCTTGACCTGGAGATAAAAACAGTTGCCTTTGTACCCTAAGGTCTGGGGTTCGAGTCGTGGCCGGACCTTGTTTTTTCAGTATCAAGGAAATTGAAAAAAAATTCCGTAAAAAATAAATTGTTAGTTTTTTGTTTGTTCGCTCAAGTTTTGCTGGCCAAATTGCCACAACAAGTTTTGCTTGTGCTGTAGACAGTTTTCACTGTAGTTACAAGTGCAAGTGTTGGACCAATCTCGGGAAGGGGAACTTGAAAGATTTGAATAATTAAAAAAAATTCATAATATTTTTTTGGGTTTGTTGGTGTCCGCTCAAAGATTGTCGGTTTAGTTGCCACAACACTGATTTTTTTGTGCTGTAAACAACTTTCATTGTATTTTTTTTTCGGCTCAAATTGTGTCTGCTCAAAGATTGTCGGCTTTGTTTTTTTTCGTAAATTTTGTTACGTTGTTGCTAATGTCAAATTCGAGTGTGTGGCATGCTTGCTTGGAATAAATTTCTATCGAAACATATGAAAATCTAGATGACCTAGTTTTTTTCAAAAATTTTCGTTTTTTCAAAATTCGAAAGTTTTCAACAAATAGGTCATTATTTTATTCTGTTTACTTGCGTTCATTAAATTTTTTTCCAACTGTCTGTTGACTGTTTTTTAGCATTTTCAAACTATTAGCGCATGTAGTTGCTACGAGATGCAGTAATTGTAAGCTTCTGTCGAGCATGTGACGCAGCGAGACTCCCAATCTCTAATTCGGGAGTATGATTCCGGCTCAAAACGAAAGATTATCTTTCTTATTTTCATCTTTTTTTCCTTTATTTCACGATTTTACTCCTTTTAGTGCTTGTTTTTAAAATCGAGGGGGTTTTTGAAATCATTTTTGTCGATTTAATAATAAGACTATTGATCCTTGAGGGAAGGGACCAGAGTATAATCTGTCCAGCTTTTTATGGAGAACCACTGTTACGCCCCTGATTAACTTTTACATGCGTTTTTTCTGGGTTGGGAAATGTTGCGTTGCCCTCAAGCAACAAGCAAGGATCGATGTTTTTGTAAGAGTCGATCAACGTAGTTCAGATTCTTATATAGGTGCTGATGATTTTTTTTGGTTTTTTAGGAAAAGTCTTCAAATTTGTTCAAGTTCAAATTTAACTTATCGCGGTTTGACTTATGATTTCTGAACTGAGTTCATTCCCTTTGTTAAAAGGAAGGCAAACTCCACTATCGAACAACAAAAGTTAAAAGGTCATGAAAGAATGATCGGCTTCTAGTTTCGAAAGTGATTTTTAATTTGCAGATTTCCCAGAGAAAGGAAAATTTACTTATTGAACCAATGGATCCTGTTGTTATCAAAGTGTGTTAGTTTTATCAAAAATAGCCAATCACAAATGGTTCTTTTTGAATTTCAAAGAGCTTTAAAGGAATTTTTTTTTCTTTGAAAGTTGAGATTTTTTCAAGAAAGTGGGTGTTTTTTCATGCTTACTTGCGTTCATTACTCTTTACCAATCTTCGATTGGCTATGTTTAACTACCTTTTGCGATAAGCAAGGGCATTGCAATCGGGTACAAGACTGCTTTCCCGTAAACAACTTTGTCCACTGGAATCATCTGGACGTCTGGACTCATCTCTACTTTGTTTCATAATGTATTCAAATTTCTTCGCGTTTCCGGCCAACGTAGCCTGGAGATAACGAATATACCTGGGACGGCCAAGGTCCTGGATTCGAATCTTACCAGGTTGGTTCGAATCTGACCAGTACTTAATGTTTTTCAAACTGTAAATAGTCTGTTTTTCTGCGCGCGTTTTTCTTTAAGGTTGTTTTAGTGTTTGATTTATGCCTACAGTTTGTTGATTTACTTACATGGACTTCGCGTTTCTTTTTTTTTGTTTCGCTTAAAAAATGTACCGGCCCAAATTATTTCGACCTATTTTTCATCGGCTTAATGACCTAATTTTGGGCGGTTTCGAGATAAACACAATTTTAAGACTCCCATCCGCACTTTTTAACTTGGTTGTATGTTAACCAATCGGTTTATTGGAATTTGTTTTTGATTTTTTACTCTTTTTTTACTTGACACCTCTGTCTACAGCCTTCGAAAAGTGTGGGGGTATATTTGAACAATATTTTATTTTTGAGTTTTTTTGGTTTTCTCGAAAACCAATTTCAATCTCTCAAATCTGATATTGTAGGTTCAATGAGATAACAGGTAGTGGAAAGCTCTTCTGCATTAACGGACACTAACCCAAAATTGTCTACAAGAAGTTATCGCCCTCTGAAAAGTCAAATGTCTGATTTTATCACCGTTTTTTTAAAACTTTTTAAATATTATCGAAAACTGCCCTGCCATACCTGAGATTTAGAATTTAATTCTCAGAACGGGTTGTGGGTAGCTCATTTGCTTATGCGATTAGGCCCAAATTTTTTGACTTCACAGGTTTTGCCTTCGGAAAAGAAAGTAAAAATTTTGATTTTGTGACCGTTTTTTTGAAAGTTTTTGACTTTTCTCGATAACTACCTTCCCAAATCTGAGATTTTCAGTTCGATCCAAATTACAGGTTGCCATATTCCCTTCTGCATAATGGCTCTGCATAATTTTTTCACTTAAAAGCTATTATTCTCAGTAGTGTCAAATTTTTGCTTTACTGTTTTTGGACTTTTTTTGAACTACGCAAAATCTACCGTGCCAATTCTCAGGTTGTTCTCAACTTTCAAAAACATTGCTCTGTTTTAAGTTTGTCTATTCAGGTTGCTTACTAGTAGTTTCTTAAGTTTTTTCATGCTCAAAAGAAACATATTCATATTGGTTAAAGTTAGACTGTATGGAAGTTTTTTTTCTTTTTTTTTTTAACTTATCTTCTCAAATTTGTGTCTCGCCGTGTTTCAGTAAACGATGCATCAAGTGGATTGAATTGACTAGTGATTATAACTGATCTATTTTGATTTTTTTTGCTATGAGCTCGAAATGATTGGATTCACAGGAAGTACGACCTTAATATACCTTAACCGGCTGTCTTCTGTGCGGAGTTCTGACAACTGTTTGTTCATTGTGAAGAACCTCTTGGTTTTTGATTGGGGTGTCATAGTGATCAACCATCTGAAAATTAATGCTCGAAGTCTTGATGGTAACTAGAGAAGATCAATTTTTCTGCTGAAGAAGTTGATGACTTGTAATCCAACAACTCTCTCTCTCTCGCGGACACAATAATTTAATTAAGCATTAATGAAGGGTATTTTTTTTCTATCGGCTACTTTTCAAAAGTGATTCCTCTAACTGGGTAGAATGTGTCGGGAGAGTATTTTGGGTTAGAATTTTTCTTATAGACAAGACAATTTTTGAAACCCATTTTAATTGTTTTTTTCCCGCGATCCTCTTTCCTTGAAATATTCTTCAGAACCCATTTAATGAAACTTATGGAATATGAAGCTGCTTTTGGACCATGCAGGCATAATTTTTTAAATTCGCAAGTGTTGTGAAGCTCTGCTCTGCCTCTGTGTCAGAAAATGATAGACCTGTGTTATTTTTTTGTAATAGCTTGATATCTGGTCTAGTTGTTTGGAAGCAGCTTTAACTGCTGCGAGCCTACGAGTGTATTTACAAAATTTGGCCTGATTACAATCCTCACCTTTCATCACTTTTTAAGTGCTTGTAAAAAGCAAACACCCATTTGTATAAAACAGTTCTTGAAAACTCGTTTTCAACACCAATAATATATTAAAAAGTTGTATTCAATTGATATTCAATTATATTTAAAAGTTGGTCATATATACCGGACAGAAGCACCCACCCTAATGCTTATGGTTTGAGTAATTAAGTCATATAAAGAAGGTATTTTCATAGCATGAAAGTGCTTATAAGTACTAATAGCCGCTCAAATGTGTGTCGAAAATCAAAATCTGTGCGAAATGAAATCTTTTTTTTAATGTGTAGAAGATATTCTGCTGTCGTTTTCTGTAGATCACAACACAACTGACAAGGACTCTTGGGGTGAATGTTCGAAGGCCAACGTGAAGGACTCGTGGGACAGCTACAAGCCATGCTTCTACTTTTACCTAAACGCAGTTAGTGTGCCTGTTTAAATTTGGCAATCACAATCAACAATCTATCCGATTTTTTATTTTTTGGGTCGATTTCGCCCAATATATCAAATCTAAAATTGTGGAAAATAGATGAAAATCTTTGAGTCTGATTGGTGGAAAAAAACAAGTTGCCAAAACGAAGTTTTTGTCGCGGTCAAAGCGTTTAATTCGTAACTGATGCGTTGTTTAGTTTTTTTTCGGGCGGAATAAGTGAAAAGACTAATTTTTTTCGCTCGTTTTCTAAATGTTAATTGAGTTTTAATTGCCATTTTGTTCTCTTTTAGGTTCACAACTTCGTGCCTGAGCCCATGGAGGAAGGAAAAGGCGTTAATGTGGAGTGCAAACCAGCAGTAAGCTTTATTTGCATTTTCAAAACCCGATTCATCTGGGTAATTTTGTAACGAAAGGCGAAGTTAAGATTTGTGTGTAATATTTTCGCGTCATTTACTCTTTTCTGCTGGTTTAAGTGTCAACGAACGAAATGGTTATTCCTGGAAAAAGTCGTGAAAATTGATCACGCTAAAAATGTTGGCTGTTTTTTTTCCAAGAATATGATATTATGGATCCTTCTACAACTCCAAATTGTATTAGCTACCGTTTTAACGAATAATTTGGGGTTCAAATGGTTAGTTGGGACGGAAAACTTGGGGTGTCATTTAAAAATTTGACTCCCGCTGTCAAATCGTCAATAGATAGGTGATAGCATGAAATTTTGGAAGTGCATGAAAGGGCGTACAGATAGAACAACATAAATCCCAGCTACAGAACACAATACATAAATCACAGATGGCTTGCAAACAGAACACAATTGAGTTCAATGAGATATTAACTTATTCACCAGCGAGCTTGGTGTATCAATATGACTCTACATCTTTTCCAGCTACATAAAAGTGCTCATTTGGTGCTATTTTGTTATAATCACCAGGGAGCGACACGACAAATTTTGGGTCGTAAAAACTACGTTTCTTTGGTGGCCAAAAAAGTAAAGAAACCTAAAATTTTTGTTTTGTAAACTCATAAACCATCATTTTTGCTCATTTACCATCTGTATTTTCTGACAGTCATGCAGTTTTTGCTTCAAAACAGTGAAAAGTATTCAGACTTTCAAATGTTATCCGCGCATGATCTAATTACGCTGGATTTATCATCACAGACTCAATTTGAGGGGCGGACGCCCCCCCACCCCCCTCAGGGATTCGACCCCCTGCCGACCCAAAGGGTCCCCCCTTTGATACTTTTTCAGAAATCCATTTTTGGCCGACCGATCCTAAAATTTTTCTAAAGGCGCCTTTGGCGCCAATATGTACTAACTTTGAGGGGGAGCGCGCGCCAAAAAAAAAACGCGATTTTTTGTCAACATTTTTCAAAAAGTGCCCAAAAACGGCTTTTTTGACTGTTTTTTCAAAAATTTGCCTGCGGCGCTGAACATTTTGCCAAAGTAGGGGCAAAACAGTGCTTTGGGAGAGCTCGAAAAATCAATTTGGTCGACCTAAAAAAAAGGTCGTCAAAATTTTCGAAAATTTTTTGAAAATCCGCCCCCCACTCGAGAAAATCCTAGATCCGCCCCCCTGCTCAATTTTATGGTTCTTTTCGACAGTTTTTCAGGGCAAATGAGACAAAATTTTATGTTATTGCTTACTTTTTTCACTTCATTAAAATCAAAAAAGTTTTAAAGTATTTACTTTTTTCCGCTCCTTGATCATTTCGACTTGCTGTAGCATACGAAATTCCATAACATCTCTTATGTGCTTTATTGGTGTCTAGTGTTGCCGTTAGTCAAGACACTCTGACTGATAGAGAAGGACGTGAGACTCCAAATCTCGAGGTCGTAGGTTCGAATCCAGCAGAAATGAAAAGTTTTACTATTTCGAGGCTTTATTCTAATGTTTCTTATTTCACTTTTTAGAACTGCTTTTTGTCGTTTTCTCGCTTATGTTTGCAAAGCGCAGCTTCGCCTCTGTGTAATTGAAAAAGTTGGACTATTTTGTTGGGTTACATATATATTGCATGAATAATAGAGAAATGTAACAAAAGAACATTGGAATGATGCAAAACCAGTTACATATACTCCGAAAAAAAATGCAAAAAAAAACATTGGAATGATGCAAAACTAGTTAAATATACTCCGAAAATGGAGCTTTATTAAAATTTATGCCAAATTAAGCCAGCCCATGTTCGTCCAATAAGTTTCTAAATTGATGATGCCCTCGACATAGACAGACTTCAATCGATTGATTTTCAGTTGTAGTTGCCTCCATTTCACTTTTTGAGTAAGCTCACTTCCTCCTTGCTCCAGACGGAACAAAAGTTGAATTTGCTACACTCTCTTGGAATTTAAATTGAAATTAACTGCTCATAGATAGGGTCAAGCTCCACCAATTTACCGATTCTGGGACAATTCCAAGTTCACAGCAGTTTGTTGTTTTTAGATCGTTACGATGACCATAAACAGTTATAATTACAATTTTGTATCCAGTGTTCTTGGATAATTTTGAGGGGGAATGACCAATCAGCATGTGTTTCGATTAGCTTGCCCATATGCGATTAGCTTGCCCTGAATTTCGCTCTTTCGAGATTTGTTTACTGAAGTTTGTTTGATCAAATAGCGTGTAGGTTTCCAAATGTTCAATTGGTTATATTTTGAAAAAAAAGATAAAATGGCAGGCAATGCGTTGTCCCCGATGACAAAATGAGTTTTTGCGGCCGACAAAATTTTCGTAACTTTTTTTGAAAATCCGCCCCTCGATAAAATCTTAGATCCGCCCCAGGTTGTAAAAGTTATTTTCTGCCGCTGTAGTGTTTTTCGAAAAAAAAAACATTGCTCAATTTTTTTTATGTATCAGAATTTCTCTTTTTGAAGAGAGCGAAATGAGCGCTGAAGCTAGAAATTTCTAATTCCTTCAGTAGAGTTATAGTTATACTATAAATCAAAAGATGGAGTCAGTTGATGATGCCATTAAGTTATGGTAATCTAAGGTTGAGTGGCGCAGAGAAAGCAGAACTGACTTCGTTCTGGTAAGTTGGCGGGTCGATCCTTGGGATTCATCTTAAGTTTTGCACTATTTTGAACACCAAAAATGAGCGATACTCTTAAAAAGATAGCATTAAAGCTAGAAAAGCTGTCTTATTCCAGTACTCGTTGATAGTAAAAGTTGGACTCGAATTTTTTATAGAGGTAATGAAAAAGTGCTAATGTCTGAATGGTGGTTGTTATTTTTGTGTATATAATACAGCGCTGATTTTGAGATATAAATTAGGTGTTCCATGTTTTTAATTCTCATTAATTCTGCTACATTGGCGCATCATCTTTCAAATAATATTAATATTAGCGATGTTTTTTTATTCCTCTTGTATTACGTTTGCAGAAAGCCAAGTACGAAAAGTATTTCAAGAAGGCGGTTGTGTACCCGGAAGCTGGCTTTGACCTTAGCCACTTCCCCTGGAAGTACGGCATGGACTGGCGCAACGAGGCCCCCCTAGTCGTGGTCCAGATCGAACTCGACCAGGAAAACTTCAACAAGGATGGACTGGAGGCTAGGATTGTGTGCAGCGTGCAGGCCGCGTTAGTATCATGCTAACTCGTTGCTATTCAGTGGGATATTAGATATTTTTTTTAATGTTAACGAACCAAGTGATTTCTGACTGATTAAGACCTTCAGTTTTTCACGATCGATTTTTCGTGGTTTGGCTTTCGATTTATCTTTAATTTCAATTCAGATTGATTTGCAGAAAATGGGTAAATTCCGCTCTCGAATGAAAAAGATCAAATGGTCCAACAAAAACTTGATTGACTTTTCGTTTCAAAAATGGACTTTGATTTTCCGAATTTCCATCGGAATGAAAAAATGACCGATTGATCCAGGGTTTAATTAATCCAGAGGTTCTTAATTGGGTTCGTTTTTATCATGAAAGATATTGGAAATTCAAAGAGCTATATATTTTTTTCTCCAAAGTTCAAGATAAAATGTCAATAATTTTTTTTGCCGTTTCATTATCGCACTTATTAGCTTCACTTGGTTTATCTATTCGTTTTTCAGATTCGGTGCGCTTATTTTGCAATACCTACAAAGTAAGCCGGAGCTCTATGGTCTCCGTGATGTTGGAAATCTGAAAACTTCTCGGGTTATTTTATTTTGGTTATGTTTCAGAAATGTGCACTTGGACATTGAGAAGCCCAATATCGGCTCAGTCGACTTCAGAATCCGAAAATAGACTAAGAACAAAAAGAGGTCCTCGCTCTGTTGGTCGAAAGAAATAGCCGATTTGAATCTATATTTATCCATCACTTGCGCACTATAACAAAAGCAGACGTCTTAAAACAAGTGTGAAGCAAGTTTCAAACTTGATGTCTGAAAGTCGGACTATGTTTCACTTAACAACTAGGCAATAGTATACACTTGCATTGATACATTTTATTACAGCGATTTCAAACAAAATAAGGAAACAACTTTTTAAAGTGCATTTCTTGAATTATTTAAAAAAGTAGAATATTTATGAAGAGGTATAAATGTTTTGAAGTAAGTTGATTAACCTGTTTTTCTGTTTCTATCAAATTAAGTTCTTGCCCCGTAAGTCGATGCATTGTAATAAGCTACGAGGAGTAATGGCCTTGGCTACTATGAAAAATAGAAGTGTTTTTTATCACATTGTGGCATCAACTTTTTATGTGGCCGTTTCTACGATAAAACTAGCCTTGAGTTATGAAAAATGGTATCAGTTTCTGCAACTTATATGTTTTAATGTCGATCTAATATTGAAACTATTTTGTTCGTAAGAACCACTGCGCATTTCAACCAGTGCAATAATATTTATGATGATTACTTTTTGATAGTCAAATTCCAGTGTTCACTTAACAGGAAGACCGATAATCCTTAGAAACCAAATGCAATAAATAAAATATGTAGTTATTTATTGTGTTCAATTCCCTGCTTAATGGTGCAATAAGAGAAAGTCAACGCATGATCCTCGTCATAAATTTCATCATCACAACTTTCAAATTTTAAAAGAAATTGCCAACGAGATTACAAAAGCATGCTTTGAAGATGCGCAGCTCCCACTTATATATATGCTGCAAATTTTCCACTAATGAAATATGAACTGTATTTTTTAACTGTTGAAAAAAGCAATTCAATTTGAACAGGCAGTGTTCAAGTGATTTTTGAATGATGATGGTTGTGAAGTTCTGTTGGCAAAAATGGCGTTAAAGCACTGACCAAGTCACTACTACCTACCAAACGTATGAATTCTATGTACACTACTACTACTCAATGAATTAATTTTTTTTCACGTAATTTTTACTTAATATACTCGAGAAAGTAGGAGCTTCAATTTAGTCTGTTTTCAGCTTTCTGGCTGAAAATTATTAATCACGCACTACTTATCCAGTTTTTTTTGTTCTGACCATTGAAAACGGCCAAGAACTTTGTATTCGGGTGCTTGTTTTTTCTTTTTTTAACACGCAAAATCAGTTACCACAAAAACATCGGAATAGGTCGAGTGATATATCATATTGAAGCCCTTTCAGTCGTGATTCGAACGACCTAAAAATGTTTCCAAAAAGTCAGTGTCGAGAAAAACTGGTGTGAAATTTAAGAGATTTAGTCTAATTTCGAGCGAGTAACGCGTGTTATATGGAAATTTAATTTTTTTAGACTCACGCCAAAAAAACTTGGTCTTACTATTTACTTTGGGTTAGTTTTATTCGGAAAAAGGTTCAGTCAATATCCTTGAAATCAAAAGGTGTTCGGTGGTTCTCGAATTCAAATCCCAACTGAAAGGGTTTTGATGAGATCCACTTTATGATCTACTATGCTTTTCTCAGTACCTGATCTTAAATGAAAAGACCTCTGTAGGCCATAGTTCCCTCCCAACTCTAGAGCTGGTCAGAACGTAATATTTCCTCTAAGGCTGCTCATTATTTAATAGGTTAGCTTGACACAGGAGGAAAAAAGTACAATTGAAGTACGATTGTAATCTGAAAAAAAGTTAATTGGTTATCAACATTTGAAATTTATACTGATTCTCAAATTGAAAGACATTCCTACAAGACGAATAGGCAAACTTATCCTTATAAACATAATCAGGAAACAACAGGCACGCACGGATCTAGGAATTTATCGAGGGGGGGGGGCGGATTTTCAAAAAAAATCTGAAAATTTTGTCGACCTTTTTTTTGATTGACTAAATTGATTTTCTGAGCTCTCCCAAACCGCTTTAAAGACACTAATTTGACCAAATTTTCTGCGCCGCGTTTTTAGGCACTTGCGTTTTTAGGCACTTACAAAGTGCCTGAAAGATATGTTTTTAGGCACTTGCAAAGTTTCGACCAAAAATTCGCGTTTTTTCGGCGCGAGCTCTCCCCTCAAAATTAGTATAGATTAGCACCGAAGGCGCCTTAAGAATAGATTAGCACCGAAGGCGCCTTTTTAGGGTCCTTCAGCAAATATGGATATCTCAAAACCGTACACAGGGGACCCTTTGGGTTGGCAGGGGGTCGAACCCCCCCCCCCCCCTAAATCTGCTACTGGACAACGAGATAGTTTTGTAGTACCAATAACGTTTTTTAAAAATCACTGCGGCACTCATATCAATAAGTGCGACCAAGATTTAAACTGAGTATTCAGTTAATTATCAATGTAAACTTGAGGTGCTATTAGGCTCTTTCACTTAAGAATTTTTGAGTCATGAGCGTAGTGAACACTTAAATAGGTCGTGATTTTTTATTGTTTTTGTTTCCGAAAAAAGTCGTTAATTGTGTTCAGGCTCAAATTGATTTTTTTGCGGTTTGACTTTTGATTTCGTATTAAGCTCAGTTCATTACTTTGGTTAAAAGAGTCAAACTCTACTATCAAACAGCAAAAATGTAAAGGTCACGAAAAACTTGATCGCTTTTTTGTTTCGGAAGATTATGTTTTTGGTCTTTCACACATGTTCTTTCACGACAAGGCATGAATGAAAAATGAAATATTAAAACGCATGAATAAAAAAAAGAAATCATTTGCATAGTTTTGCGCAATTTTCCGGGCTCTTTCAAAACTTTCCGGCATCTTTCCCTCAGAAAGAGCAAAAACATGCTCTTCAACAGTTACAACATAGTTGAAGATGGCCTCGGGCAAAAGAGCCGTCATCGGGTACTTCGTGATCTCATGCCGGGCTCTAGGCCTCGAAGTGGTTGATTTTTTCTTAACCGGTTAACCGATCTCAAATTAACCGGTTAGTTCTGAAGAAAAAGTTTTTTGGCAGAAATGATTGAATTTTATACAGAACAGTGGTAAAATAGATTAGTTTAGATGATGCAGAAGCGCCCCGTTTCCTCCAGACAGGGTGAAGGACTTCCGACATATCTTACACTCAGCCGATTTTTCGTTGACTTTGTTGAAGTATTTCCACACCCAGCTCGACATTTTTATCTGAAAAAGGCAAAATATGACTTAGTAGTATGATAGCAATTCTAGTGACGGGTCTACTTTTTGGTGTGCATTCCCATCGGTTAACCGGTTAATGAAAAATTAACCGGTTAACCGCTCTCGAAAGTTTCTCAAAATGGGTCAATTTCATCGCTTAAGTCAATCAAAATCTGTTCTTGGAATTCAAAGAGCGTTAAGGCTATCCTTTGCCATGTCCACTTCTATCTGTCAGTTGGCTATCTATGAGTGTTTTTGTTCCGACCACAAAGGTAGAACTAAGTTTGTTTTGGGTGATTTTTGTTCTACGACACTTTAAGTTGAAGATTGAAAACAAATCGGACAAAGCCGAGTTTCATTTTGTAAGAACCAAACTAAATCGTGCTCTTCGTTAGAAACAGATTTCTCGGTGTCGAGAAAAAGCTAGTACAGATACACATTACATTTGTTTCAGACGGTATTTTGGCAATCAATGAAATTTAACTAAGACCGTGTTCTCAGACGGTGTTTAGACATCAATGACATTTAGTAAGGGCCATTTTCAGCGCAAATACTTGAGGAAAAAAGTTATTGCTGGCGATCATTGTTGAAATTCATCTTAAATTTTTCTACATCCTCGCGTTTTGAAGAGTAATGAACGTAGTGAACACTCTTATATATTAGTCTTGGCAATTTTTTTTGTTTTTTTTTTATCAGGAAAAAGTCGTAAGATGTTCTAATAACTACAGATGTGCATTTATATGTATTGGTGCCTTTATGAATGCACTTACGTATAAATGCACTTTTTGAGTTCAATTGAAATTCATCTGCTGAAAATGACGTAAATAGCCCTCTCCAAATACGAACGTGGAATTGGCGCAAAAAAACGTCAACGACTTTTAGTTTCGAAAGTGGAATTTGACATGTGGATTTCCCAGCTCAAAAAACTTAACCAATTGATCCATTTTTCTCAAATTAGGTTAGTGTTAACAAAAAAGACCCAATCATAAGATAATCTAATAACTACAGATGTGCATTTATATATATTGGTGCCTTTATGAATGCACTTACGTATAAATGCACTTTTTGAGTTCAATTGAAATTCATCTGCTGAAAATGACGTAAATAGCCCTCTCCAAATACGAACGTGGAATTGGCGCAAAAAAACGTCAACGACTTTTAGTTTTGAAAGTGGAATTTGACATGTGGATTTCCCAGCTCAAAAAAACTTAACCAATTGATCCATTTTTCTCAAATTAGGTTAGTGTTATCAAAAAAGACCCAATCATAAGTTGTTCTTAAGTTTGAAGAATTGTAAGGACATATATTTATTTGACGTCATTATTTGAAACTAAATATTTCAGAAGAAATCAATTTTGAAGAATATTTCCTCTAATAAAAATCAGCGCTATGAAAACTGATATATGCAACTTAACTACAATTATGACTGGTCGGATCTTTGTGGCTTCTTGCACATCAGTCGGCTGTTCTTAATTTTTCTTATTTCCTTTTTAGTCTTCTTTATTGGCATAGTCTAACAGGGTCTTATTAATGACTATTCAATTTTTTAAAATTTGACCAATAAAAATTTTTAAATGTATTTTTACAGTTATAACGAAAATAAAAATTAACTTCTCAAATGGCATAATTCCCAAATGGTATGAAAATAAAATGTTTCCCAAATGGCATAAATTTCAAGTTTTCCTTGTAATTCAAACGTTTTCTATCAATTTCTAATTCTAACATTTTGTCAGAAATGAAAGCATGTGAACAAGATTTAGAATTAATTGCTTCCAAACAATTTTACGCAACAAATTTGTCGAAAAAATTGATCACAACAAGCTTATTTATAACAGCAAGCTGATGGTTTTTCCTTTGATAAAAAAATCTTACAACTTTTTCAAGATAAATTGATAATCAACATCTGAATTGACTATTTGACTAATTTTCTCACATTGTTCAAGAAAAAATTGTTCTTGATTTTTTCAATGCAACTGTTGCATGAAGTTTATCCCATTTGGGACAATTTCAATTTTTATGCCATATTTGGTAATTATGCCATTTGAGACGTAATCAGAATAAATATTAAAGCCGACGTATAAATCAACCAAAGTTGCGCAAAGTAGAAAAACCGTTCGGAAAGTTACGTCATTGCATTCCGGGTTGACCATCCTACAAAAATTTCCCTTATATTAGAACTTCTTATGAGATTTGTTGGAAGTTTCTGCTAACTTACATCTTTCTAATTACACATGCATAGCTTTTGTTATAGTATGAACTCTCTTTTTTGGAACCTAAGTCGCAAATATTGTTGCGATGCAAATGTTGCAACAAATTGTTTCCAATTTAAAAAAGTTCATTTTGATCTAGCTATTAGGTACAGCCAATGCTAAGGATATCAACACAGACTATTATATTACATATAGCACTTTAGCTTCAAGTTATCATGGACCTGGAGAAATTTTGTTGACTCAAAGTTTTACTCATTCAGGTTTTCCCAGTTGCGTTATCGGTCATATTTTGCTTTATATGCAAAGTGTAACTTGGCCTCTGTGCAAGAAAAGTGCTAAGTTAGTAAATTTTCCACGAATTCGAAGAAAAATTGTTATAAACATTTCGAATGTGTTTCTATATCTAAAAACAGATAAAACCTATTTTGATTTTTTCTTTTTGCAAATTTATCTATACAAAAGTTTCATTCAGTGGTATTACGCTCCCAATTAACAGGCGTTATCAAACTGGAATAAATACTTTTTTCTAGTTAACAACTAGTTTAACAAAACCAGTTGAATCACTTCATGACCATGCAGGTGACTTCATTTCACTTCTCTTCTCTCAACATCTTTCAAGTTGCTTCCCCATTGGCCTGGAGGAAATAAATCAGTTGCTTTTTCAGCCTAAGGTCTGGGGTTTGCGTGGTGGCCGGACCTTGTTTTTTCAGTATCAAGGAAATTGAAAAAAGAGTAAAATGAATTGTTTGTTTTTATTTGTTCGCTCAAGTTTCGTCGGCTAACTTGCCTCAACGAATTTTGCTTGTGTTGCAGACATTTTTCATTGTAGTTGCAAGTGCAAGTGTTGTTCATTCTAGTTTCAGGGGGGAGTTGAAAATTTCGGTTCATTTGGTGTCTGCTCAAAGAATGTCGGCTTAGTGTTGCCCTTTCACTGATTTTTTTTCTGCTGTAAGCAACTTTTCTTGTATCTGCAAATGCAAGTGAAGTTCATTCTAGTTTCAATTAGGACTTGATTATTTAAAAAAAAGTTAAAAAAAAACATTTTCCTAGACTAAAGTGGTTTCAGCTCAAAGATTGTTGGTTTAGTTGCCACATCACTGATTTTCTTGTACTCTAAACAACTTTTATTGTAGTTGCAAGTACAAGTGTTGTCCATTGTTGTTTAATGTGGGACTTGAATTTTTTTTTAAATCAGATTTTTTTCGGCACAACTTGTGTCTGCTCAAAGATTGTCGTCTTTGTTTCTTTTCGTAAATTTCGTTCCGATGTTGTTGTTTTAAAATTCAAAGGTTTCACATGTTTGCCCGGAAAGAACTTCTATCGAGACATATGAATGTTTATATGACTTAGTTTTTGTAAAAAAAATTTCATTCGATTTTTATATATGTTTTTTAATATTTCGCTTGTATCGCAAGTGGTGCGAAGCTCAGCTTGGCCTTTGTGTAATATATGCAATTCGAGTGAAAAATTCTGAAACAAAATTTGATTTTTTAATGAACCTAATTATGCGTAATTAGCGGTCGAAATTAAAATGGAGACAACAAAAAATCAACTTTGACGAATCATGTGCTATAGCTGCGGACGTAATGTCTGTGGGGTTCAGTTATATATCGAAAAAACTTAAAGGTTATTAGCAAAAAAATAATTTTCTAACGTTAGTGGATGCATCAGGGAGGCGGAGCAATAAGCAGAATGGTCCAAGTTCAGAATGGGTCCAAGAGCAGAAAAACAGAAAAATTTTGACTTATATTGGTTTATACGGGCTATTTGATAAAACAATTATTAGAACCGTCAAAAAATACCAAGAAAACGAATAACTTATGCATGAGTTGTCTAATTTCATTAAGTTTTTTTATTAATATTTTTTTTCAATTCTTGATTAAATTACTCAAATTATGCATAAAATGTTCGTTGCGTTGGTATTATTGACATTTCTGATAATTAATTTACCGATTAGCTCATAAAAGTTGATATTTTTCTGTTTTTCTGCTCTTGGACCCATTCTACTCTTAGACCATTCTGCTTATTGACTGGCCACCATTTATCAGTAAACTGTAATTTTCTTAGAGCATAATTTTGCAAGAAGCTATAAGATTCTCATAAGAAAAATTATAAGATAGCGACATTTGGTTAACCCGGGATGACTTTTGTAACCGTTATATAATTGATACATATCTATTATTCAACAATTACATATTCACTTCTGGTTGATATGGCAGCTGGTTCATATTTCGGCTGATTTAGATACCACAAATTAAAACGGGTCCGATTATTGTGGCTACTTGCACATCAACTGTTTTTGATTACTTTTATTTTTTTTGTCTTCTAAATGAGCATAGTTTAATTGGGTCCTATAATTGGGCTATCCAGTCTGGGTCTTACACGCACACTCGTGAATTGGTTTCCGCGTTAGCGATTGCTGAAGTTCACAACGAAATGATTTGAAATTCACCATTGTTTTTCACCATTGGTTTTATCATGCACGCTGTTTCCTCTTGATGGATGATGATTATTTTACGATTTTTTATTCAAGATTTTAACTTGGTTTTCAATGAAGTAAATGATCCAAACCTTAGGGCCTATATTTAAAAATTGTTAACTGAGCTTGTGTTTGAATGAAAATCCAAATTCTCTTTTGTTAATTTCAATTTCAACAATTTAACATCGGGCATCCAATTTTGAAAATACAAGAAAGATTTTTAGTGGGTCGTATAACAGAAAAGACCCCTTGAATGCAATATGGCCTCTGCATGATAATTCCATGTGGCTTTTGAGTGCTACGTGAAAATACGGAATATAGTATACATATGAATCAAATTATGCGAAAACTGGTTTTAGTTATTGCGGTCTCGTAATACAAAAAGACTTATATTCAAAAAGCGAACTCTTTCGGCATTTAATGGGACTGTGCTTAAAAAACTCAAGTTATAAAAAACTGCGCTTTTTGATTGTGTTTACGAAAAGTTTGAGTCCATTTATTTGCGTTTGAGAAATAAGACCGAATTTTTAGTCCCATTCGGAAGCGCGTTATTAAAAATAAGATTTGATCAATTCTTGAAAATACGCGCCATATCAGGTATTGCATAACAGTTTTGGAATTTCATTTGCAGTTGGTTTCTTTGCCCTAATTAGGGTTGGTTTCGATTTCGTGTTTGTGAACCCTTTTAATCTAGACCGATCAGAAATTGTCCTCAAAAGAAGTCTCAGTCATCGACGAACGACTTTTATGATCCTGAACAATTGAAACGCCACGTTATCGCATCGTGTCTATACTCAATTCAGTAGCTTTCTTTTGCTTGTTTCTAAAAAAAGCAAATTTAACAACTTTTTTGAGCGCCAGCGAGTTATTATTTTATAAAACAGGCTATCTGAAAATTTCTGCTTCTGTTTCAAATTTGACAAAATGGTCGAAGACACTAAAACTCCTAGAACCACGAACAAAAATGTATCGACCATAGCTTCCAAATGGGCCGACTTTCAACTCTTCCTCTGGAACAAGGAGAGGAAAGAAGTTGCAGGACGAACTGCCAGGAGTTGGGGTGAGAAAGAATATTGGCTATGCTTTCCAGTTATCTGTTTGATTACTTTTCTGAAAACTTTTTAAGATGATTTTCTGATGCTCCTAAAATCTGCTGCTAATCAAGCTTAAGTGATTAAGTGAATATATTTGAACTAATTTTTTGCATGAAAAATGCTTTATTAATAACTACTAGGCAAATTTACGAGAGGGACTTTAAAACTGGAAAATGCGAAACTGAAAAACGACATGCCATCTAGACGATGGCATGTCAACGTGCCGAACAGTTTGCAAAAAAAAACGTGCTTCAAGCTCCCAATACTGCTTCTGATGAAAATGTTCAGTGTCCGCTAGTGAGAGAAGATTCACGACTCGCGTTGTCTCTCTTGTTTAAATTGTAGAGCTGTTAACTCAGGCAGAGTTGTTTTCAGCCACAACTGTTCTATTTGTGGGTACCGTGTAAACATCCGATGATTCAAAATCCGAAAAACGAAAAAGTGTTATAAACATCCGAAAAACCTATCGGATGTATGAAATACCATTCTTGACATATCATATGTTTGCTCTAGACCCTTTAATGATTCACGAAAACAATTGTTACGTGACTCATTAAAGGGTCTAGAGCAATTAAATCAAAACGGTTTGATTTAATTTCTGTTTTTTTTTTCGGCAACTCAAAATTCGGCACGTTATTTGTTCACCAAACAGTCCAGTCTCTGCTAAACATGATAAAGTATGCGGTCACGCCAGCAATTTGAAATGTACTGGACCGAATGTTCGAAATTTGTTTTCTATTAATTTCAGCCAATCGGAATTGAAATTTCAAAAACTACAAAGAAATCGCGAAAGTCTACAATACACAAAACTTCAAATATTGAAAAATCGAAGTCACGTATTGAAAAAACCTAAAACAGATTTGAAACAAAGATAGCCAGTTACTGTGCAAGTAGCACAGAATGTTCCGACCATAGTCTTCAAAAAATTACAATTTTTTTCCTAATTAGTGTCGTTTTTTTCCGTGTGGTGTGATAGAAATAATCTTAACAAAAAAATTGAAGTTAAGCAAATGCAACAGTCGTAGTCAAATAGACCAAGTGGACAACAGTTTTTTTTTGTAGAAAAATGGCTAGAAAAACGAAGAAAAAAATTAAAAATGAAAAACAATTTAAAATATTTTCAACTTTTTTTTCTATTTTAATTGCAGAATTTTATTTGAGTAAAACTAAGTTTTTCACGACTTAATTTAATCTCAAGAATTTATTATACGGTCAGCC